AGGCCCAGTGCATGATATTCGTGCACTGGTAGGATCCCTAGTGACTGCTGGCTGCCAGCTGGGTACTCCCTCCCTTCCCCTGGCCACCTGCTACTGCCACTGGCCAGGGCCTCCCTCCCTTCCCCCAGCTGGCTACCCCCTGGTCGAACTCCTGGAAGATCTCCAGTTGAGGGGACAATTTTCATACTATGCTTTTATTATATAGGATATTTATTTAAAATTTTATATATATATATATATTTTATTGATTTTTTACAGAGAGGAAGGGAGAGAGATAGAGAGCTAGAAACATCGATGAGAGAGAAACATCGACCAGCTGCCTCTTGCACAACCCCCCACCGGGGATGCGCCCGCCACCAAGGTACATGCCCTTGACCGGAATCGAACCCGGGACCTTTCAGTCCGCAGACCGACGCTCTACCACTGAGCCAAACCGGTTTCGGCTATTTAAAATTTTTTTGTTAAACCTCCTGTATAGTCAAGATTTCTTTCACTGTGTGGTAATATTTCAAGATGATAAAAACAATTTGGCTGAAAAGTTTTTCCATACTTTCAGTACTGTCAGGCAAATGGTCCATCCATTTGATGACAGGAAATAGCAGTAGTCTGTGGAAAACACAGAAAAGCTGGCTTTATTTATGCAGGTTTGTATTTCTTTGGCCCTTATTTACATGTCAGATAACTTATGAAGAAGTAAGTCATTTCCTCTGTATCTGGCTTTTGGAGATGAGTTTATATAACTTCAAAGATCCCTGTTGGCTCAGTCAACACCATAGATATTTTTCTACGGATGAACTTAGAATACCTTGCCAACCAATTAGTCAAATCAGCAAGTATGTATTGACCTCAGAGATAGTTCTCTTCTTCTGGCTCCTTAGATATTTTGTGCATGTCTTGAGAGCTTTCACCAACTGAATTTTACTGATTAAAAGCATTCCTGTGTGACTTGAAAACAGAAAAGATATGAATGGTCAGAGTCTGTGCAAATATTTCTATAATAGGAAATCAAGATATTTCCTGGTAATCATGAAAAATGACAGAATTGGTGGGCACATTAATGTGACAATAGAACCTCTCCTGGCACCATAGAGCTTCTTGAATATGCCACTGGGCAGTTTTTGCCAGAATCAATGATACCTTTTCTTGCTTTCTCTTAGCCTCTGCTTCCATCACATGCTATCTTTTAAATGTTTGAACTATATAGTTATGCTATCAGAGACCATGACTGAGGAAAGATGTTACAGATCCTTAGATCTAACTGTGCATAGTAATTACAGACATGTAAGCTATTAGAGTCTGAAGAAACTTCATCAGAAGGAATTGAGATCCAGAAACAGAAAGTGATTGCTCAAAAGTACATAGCTGGTCATACCAGTAGAACTGGGGCTAAAATCTAACCTTCAGGCCAATGTCTTTTGTATATAGAGAGTCACATTGTTAGAGAAAGACAAAATTAGCCTTTTTTTTTTTTTTTTTAAAAAAAACACAACAAAAACTGATTTGTTCTATTTATAAAATTAATATATCCATGTAGTAGAAAACTCAAGAAATACAAAAATATCTTAAGAAAAATAAGAAAATAATTAAAATTTTTAGTATAAAGTTAATTTTTCTTTCAGTCTATTTCTCTGCAAATATGTACACACATATACATATTTACATACATACATGCATTCATACATATATAAAAATAAACATAGTACATCAGTTAGAGTTCTTGGTAAGAAATAGGAAAAACACTCAGCTTGGATTTTAAGGATAAATAAATAAAGGAACTATTTATAGATTTAAAGGAGCCACCATGGGGCGTTGGGACACCCATGGACTAGCAACAGTGGATAGGGGGAAGGAAAAGTGTGTCAGAGCTTAGGGAGACCTAGAGCCATGGTCGAAGAATCGGCCATCCAAAATTGTAACCACAGAAAGTATGGGCAAAGGATTAACCAATCCTCCTTCAGCATGAGAATTTGAGCTGTCCTTACTCTCCTAATTGTTTCCCTGGCAACTGATGGAAGTTGGAATGTCAACAATGTTAAGAGGCAGCTTCACTTATGCTAAAAATGACCCCTGGAATGGGAGAATTATAAAGACCCGAAGGGGAAGCCATACTTTGAGCTTCTCTAAATGGAGTGATTCCTGTGGCTGGGCATGTCCCTTGCTGGGACCTTGGATGCTGTACCTATAAAGTCATTTCAGATGATACTTCTAGGGGATATAAATAAAGCTTTTAAACCAGGGTAGCTTCCTTGTCCCTCTGCCTGTACTGTGACAACATGGATTGCAGCAAAAACTTCCAGTGAAGAGGATACCTGACTCTGCTTTGCTATGTTTCTGTCCTAAATCCTTCTGAATAGATTATTCCAGTGTGTCCTCAGTCTTTGAAAGTAAATATGCAGTTGAATCTAAGGAAACCTTCCTGATGGATACTTCAGGATGCATCCCTGCCAAAACTATAGTGCTAAAGCAGTAAGGGGCAGAAGGGAATACTTCAAGCTTTCTCTTCTTTTACCCTCCAATCTCTTAATACTCCTCCCTTCACATTGACTAAACCCAGTCACAAGACAGAGGTAGAGCAGAAAGAGTCATCATCCCAGCTTGCATCAGGTGCTTACCACAGTTTGTTTATCATTCTCTTGTTGATGGGCATTTGGGATATGCATAAAGCTGCTATTAATATTCATGTACAAAATGACCAATACATTTTCCTTTCTCTTGGATAGATTCAGAGGAGTGGAGTTGCTGGGTCATAGAATAGACAAATGCTTAATTTTTAAAGAAATTGTCAGTTTTCCAGATATCCTACTGTAATTTTAATTTGCATTTCCCTGATACCTTATAATGTTGAAGACTTTTTCATATACATACTTATTTGTCACATATCTTCTTGTATGGAGTATCTGTTCAAGTTGCTTTCGAATTGGATTGTCTTTTTATTCTTGTTTATTAAATTGCATGAATTCCTTATATATACTAGATTCAAGTCCTTTTTCAAACTTGTGTGTTATATTTTCCTCTCAGTCTGTGGCTTGTCTATTAATGGTGAGGACTTTGAACCTTGCTCTGTAGCTTCTTTGCAAAAGGTGGAATGAATGAACTACTACTTGAGCCCAGGTGAGAGGATCAAGTAGTAGCTCAAGTCAATACTTCTCAAATTCTCAAGTGGTTGTGATTCAAGTTATCAATCCCCTGCCCTTAATAGTGAATGGGAATCTCTGGGATGGAGGATTGCCTGTGAATATTTTCACAGGTTCTGTGGGTAAGTCTGCAGCACAATGGAGTTTGAAAACTACTGGTTCAAGTGGACAAGGAGTAGACAGTGAAAAAGAGAGAAGGGCCTTGATTAAAGAGGTGTTAGAAGGTAAATGGTGACGATTCTTGATGACCAAATGTATGTAAGAAATGAAAATGTGAGAGGATTCTGTCTTAAGTAACTTCAAAAATAACATCTATGCCAGTCACCTACATGGCAACACAGAGTAAGAGATCTCTGGGTGAAAAGATAGGAAGTTTAGTTATAAATGTAGGACCGACTTACTGTTAAGAAATAACCTTTTATATTACCTAGAAATAATACTAACTTTGGGAAAATATGGTTCTATGAGTTTAAATATTAATGATAATAACATACTTTCATTATATAATGCTTATTCTTTGAAAGCACATATTCAGCTCACATTTGTTATGCACTAAGATTTGTTGCATTCCTACTATGGACTTTTAGGCTAGGTCAGTGGTTGGCAAACTGCGGCTCTCGAGCCACATGCGGCTTGCAAGCCGCAGTTTGCCGACCACTGGGCTAGATCTTTTTCTCCTCTACATCCTCCTTCATTATTATTATTATTATTATTAATTATTTTGCAAATGGTGAAACCGAGGCTCACAGAGGTTGCTTGGTTTCCCTAAGGCCATCTTAGGAACCAGGGAGTCAGGATTCAAAGCTTCAGGATAAGGTCCCTTTTCACTATTACACAGCTACTTCTCATCACGTGGATGGGCAGGGGTTTTTATTATTATTTATATATGATAACTTGAATCTACAGAAATTGTGATTTGCCCAAAATTCAAGCTAATAAGTACAGAACAGGGACCAGAGCCCAGTCTACTGCTTCCTGACCACCGCTTTTCCCATTTTAACATCCTATTTCCCATATGATTAGATTTTATTTCCTTCCTTGCTTTATGTATAGTGGGGCCTTTCCTTTCTCAAATAGGAAGAGTTTAGAGAATTATAAATATCACTAGAGACCCCGTGCATGAAATTCATGCACGGGGGAGGGCGTCCCTCAGCCCGGCCTGCACCCTCTCCAATCTGGAACTCCTCGGGGGATATCTCCCTGCCTCTCACAATCTGGGACTGCTGGCTCTTAATCACTCCCTTGCCTACCTGCCTGATTGCCCCTAACTGCTCCCCTGCTGGCCTGATTGCCCCTAACCACCTCTGCCTCGCCCGCACCCGGGACCCAGCATTCCCTCCTCTGGCCTGTTGCAGGCACCTGGGACCTGGGGCTTCCCTCCCTTTGGCTGGCCACAGGCACCTAGGACCCAGGCTGTCTTCGCCCAGGCTGGCCGCAGCTGCAGAGGACCATGGGCAGGTGGCTTTGCCTGGGCTGCAGCCACGGGTACCCAGGACGGCGGGATGGGCAGCTTGTCCATCTCCTGGGCTGCAGGTGCAGCTGCTGGTGCCCAGGACTGCAGGGACTGTGGGGCATGTGGCTTGCCCTCTCCCAGGCCGCAAACTGGCTGGTCCCTGTTCCTCTCTCACAAGCTCATTTGTGCCTGGCTGGTCCCCATTCCTCTCTCCCCAGTGTTGAATGTCTGAGCCATTATGGTGTGAGGGTGTGGAAACCATTTGCATATTAGCACTTTATTATGTTGGATTTTAAGGGAAGGGATATTGTTTGAGAAGCAAAGCCAATCTTCAGAGCTCAGTTGCTTTAGATTGGTGTATGATGGTACATTTTCAGCCTGTGCATGAATTATTATTATTTTTTAAAAATTAGGAACCTGACCTTAATGATGATAATAAAAATATGGAAATAACTCCAGGGGAAAAGGTACTTCGGAACACCAAAGAGCAACGGGATCAGCAAAATCGGCTGAGAGAGATAGATGAAAAGTTGAGAAAGATGAAGGAAAATATGGTAAGTTGGTTTTCTTTTTGTTTTTTAAAGTTTAATTGTAACCAATGGTTATATTTAAGAAGATTTCAATTTCCTTTGACTGTTTTATGGGGGATTTATGTGTTAAATCTGTAATGAGAACTGACATGGGAAATTGTCAGTAAAAATTGGAATGAAAGCTAATAATGATTTATAGAACTTAAAGGAGTATTATACTTAATTTATATGACATAATAGATCTGTGAAATACTAAAGTTAGAATAATGATTCATATGCCTAATATTCTGTTTTACAGTGATATAAAATCTGTTTTGTATGTGTGTGGAAAAATTTGGTATTGTTCTGCATAAAATTCTATCTACATATTGAACTTATCACTTAAATATTCCCACCTTTTTGTTAATAATTCAAAAATATTATTACTCATTTTTTTTCTTTGAAAAGTGTTGTATTGACTTTAGAGAGGAAGGGGAGGGGAGAGAGAAACATTGATTGGCTGCCTCGGGCACACTCTGAACTGGCGATTAAGTCCACCATGTGGGCATGTGCCCTGACTGGGAATCGAACCCTCAACTCTGTGCATGGGATGACATTGCTCAACCAACTGAGCCACACTGGCCAGGGCATTACTCCTTATATTTAATATATTCTAAATCCTTCTTGAGCCTATTTTATATTTTAAATACTTGCCATTTAAAGATATAGAATTGCTGATGTGAGAAAGCTCTTAAATAAATTAAATTGTGATCTCCTATTTAAAAATGTTCTGTAAGATTATGATTTTTCTCAGCTATCCATAGGATGTTTCCAGTTGGATACTTGGCTTTTACCTAAAATTAAATATGACAAGTCTGAACTACTTACATCTTCTCTTCCAGAGCTGGTCTTGTCGCCATTGCCAGCAGTACCTACTTTCTGTCTTCTACTACCGTGTTTCCCTGAAAATAAAACATCCTCCGAAAATAAAACCTACTTACATGTTTCCTTCTGAGTGAAATATAAGGCATTCCCCCGAAAATAAGGCCCCCCCAGGCTCTGTCTCAGAATGAAAATTAATTTACTGAAAACTGGTCGCTAGGGCCGCCCCGACTGGTATATAGCAACCAGTGACATTATGCAGAGTCCTGACGTCACTGCTGTGTGGAGACGGAGCAGAGGTGGGAGTGAGCGGTGAGTGGGGTGGGAGAGAGGAGGAGACTTTTGCAGATGCATGTAGAAGAAGAGGAGGATTAGAGCGGACGAACATGGCAAAGGTGGTGAGTGCTGGTCTGTCTCTGGTAACACTACCTGATGCTCGCAGCCGCCCTCATGATGAGCTCCAGCCCAGATCCAGGCCCCAGCAAGCCCAGTGACAGTCCCCAGGCAGGCCCCAGGGGGTAAATGTCTGATAAAGGGGTAGGAGGAATATCTGGTGAAGGTGTTTAGTGGCACAGAGGTGGGGGGAGGGGGATCACTTAAAATGACACAGGAGGATCAGAGGGGGCAATCAAATTGAGACAGGAGGATCTAAAGGGGTTACTAAAATGGTAATTCCCCCTCTGATTCTCCTGTGCCATTTTGATGCCCCCTTCTGGTCCCCCCTGTGTCATTTTAAGTGATCCCTCTCCCCCTACCTTGATACCCCAATTCCTTTTTTTTACCCCTAGAAATGAGTGCAAAAAGAAAAAGCTACTCCATGGAGTACAAGAAAGGAATCGTGGAAGACTCTTGAGACCAGAATCTTACTGCTTTCTGCAAAGAGAAGATGTTGAATATCTGATTGGTCTGAAAATGGCGAGCAGAGTATGGTAACCTCATTGAACAAGTGGACAAGGGAAATGCTAAGAAGCGCAAGTGTGGATCAGGTCGGCAACCATCATTTTACGAACTGGAAGACCTGATCTGTGAATGGGTTATTGACAGGAGAGCAGAGGCTTTGGTTGTGAATAGGGCTCAGATTCAAGAATTTGCCCTTGCAATGGCACCACACTTTGACATAGCCCCCAAAGACTTCAAAGCATCACAACACTGGCTGGATAATTTCCTTCAGCGAAGTGAACTGTCTTTAAGAAGATCTACAACATTGTTTAGGTTGGAAGATACTCAAGTTATTAAGCGAGCACTTGCATTCAAGTCCTTTATTGATGATGCTGACTTCTCTAAATACAATCTTTCCAACATGATTGTTATGGATGAAACTGCAGTGTTTATGGGCCAATCATCTCAAACAACAATTGAACAGCAGGGTGCCTCCTTAGTGTACATTCCCTCCACTGCTTACAAAAGTGCACGTGTTTCCTATATTTTGGCAATTCATCTGGATGGCACTAAAATCCCACCTTTAATCATTTCTAAGGGCAAGAAGGAAAAGATTGAACGTGTTTTGGGTGTTTTTATTCTTGAAACTGAAAAAGCCTGGGCCACACAAGCAGTTATAAGGAAGTGGGTCGATTTAATGCTGCCGCTTGTTATGTGAGGGAGCCAAAGAGGTCTGCTAGTCTGGGATGCAGCCAGCAGTCACCGCGCTAAAGACATAAAGACATTTCTTCACGAAAGAAAAATAGATCAGATAATGATTCCCGTAGGAATGACGGCCTATCTCCAGACTCTTGATATTGCAATAAACAAGCCATTCAAAGACAATTTGCGCATGGAAATTAATGATTACATTGAAAATAGAATGTAGAGAAATCAGTGTGGAAACTTTGTGAAACCTAAACTGCAAGAAGTTGTGACTTGGGTGAAGAATTCATGGGAGAAAATCACTGACAGTTGCATTGCAAATGCACTCAAGCAGGTTATCTTGACAAGAAGTACTCATTTAAAGACAGTGCTGTTGCTAAACATGAGAGATTTGACCCACTGATTCTGAAAGAAATGGAGTCACAAGAAATTCACCAGGAAATTCAGGAATTGAATTGTTATGATGATGTTCCAGAAGATGATGACATGATTGTCATTGAATAAATGAGTAAATTCTTGATATTGTAGGATTCCCAGTTTGTCTGGTTTGTGTTGACAACTACCATACTACCGTACCGTATACAGGTAATAAATTTCCTTTATTTTCATTTAACAATAAATGTGTACCGTATTCTAATTCATGTAAAAATAAGACATCCCCTGAAAATAAGACCTAGTGCATCTTTGGGAGCAAAAATTAATATAAGACACTGTCTTATTTTCGGGGAAACAGGGTAAGTCCTATTATCTTGAGTGACCTTCAAGCCCCATTAAGTTTTAACCAGTCTGTGAAATTTATCTTAAAATAGTTCCTTATGGCTCTTTGAACATTTTTTTCTGTCCTGACTTGTGTTACCCTTCTCTCAGCATTGCCACCCCCTATGTAGCCACTAATAACCTCGTCACTCTCTTCTCTCATCATCTGTTTTATATGCTGTTCCATGGGAGTGACATCAGGTAAGTGATTTTGGTTAAATTCTGATCTCCTCAGAGCTCTCCAAGAGTGTGCACTGATCCTGACTGAGATTCTTTGCCCCTCAGGATCACATCCTTCTGAACTGCTCTTAGCATTTGCCATCCATGGACAGCAGCCCCCACCTGGAGCCTCAGGATATCCAAGTCTGCTAATCACAGCCAGGCAGCATCAGGGAATAAATGCATTGTGCTTTGCTTTATAATTCATTTTTATTTACTTTTATGGGAAATTTATCAGGGATTATATTTCAGGGAGACCTCTTTTTTTTTATTTTCTGAGGAATTTTTCCCCCTTGTGTCTGTAGATATGGGGAAGAAGTAGAAGAAGTAAGAATGGTTAAGAAGTGTACAGGGCTTTTGGCGAATAGTTTGTGGTGCTGGAGCATTTTAAATGGATCTGGCAAATAAAATGACTGGTTTGACCAGCTTTGAAAACTGTTGGTTCTTCTCCCACACAACCAATCTAAGATAGGCAAAGACTGCATTTTCTATAATTCAATTTTCTTGATTTTTGATCATTTATCTCATGCCTTGAACGTATTTCTGTTCTTCTTTTTTTTTTTTTAATTTTCTCTATCATTATTTAATTTTTGACTCAAAACCTGGGTCCTTTAGGAAACTTATATTTTATTCTAGTGGCTTCTGAAGTTTGGCTAGACTTGAGACAGGATAAGTGTCAAGAGGTCGTTGTTGGCTAAGTGGAGAAGAATAACATATGAATAGAGGAGAGCAATTATTGTGTACCTTCTATGTGCCAGGCACTGTTTCAAGTATTTTAACAATATATTAACTTGTCTAATCTTCACAACCACTCTAAGAGGTAAACACTATTACCTTCAATTTATAGGTGAGGAAATGGAGGCACAGAGAGGTTAAGTAGCTTCCTTAAGGTTATAGAGCTGGTAAGTGTAAGAAAGGGTTCAAATGATAGCTTTAACAACTGTGCTATACTACCTTTCTGGTACTGATTTATTTTTCATGATTAATATTGTTTTTTTGATAGTTAAAGTCTGATAATTTTTTTATAACCAGTAATATTCATGGGAAAAATACTTGGAATCCCTCATATAAATGATAGTTTCATAGTTTTGTAATCAGCACTTTCAGAAACTGGTATCTGATTGATAAAGGCAAATGAGAGTTGGTCTATATTTATATTGCCTTTATGTTTTAATTGCTTAGTGTTTCACAATATTATATTGGGAACTGTGTGTGTACTTTTGAGTACACACTGCATCTATTTCAAACTCTGCAAAGCCCATTGTGCCTCACAAGCTTCTAGACACGTTGTGGGCTGGGAATCTGGAGGTCTGAGCCCTTGTTTCAGTGTTGTCAGTACCCTGCTCTGTTACCTTAAATCCCTCTCAGTCTCTTAGAGACTTGGTTTGTGGCTGTGAAATTAGGCTAGGCTAGTTCACCTTGTCCTTTTGGCTATGATTCTTGGAATACTTATTTTTGGTTAGAAATGGTGTTATTTATATTATCTAAAACTCAATTTGTGTATTTCCTAAGTATTTAGAAGTAGTTGGCTTAAGTATTCTATTGAAAGTTATTTTTGGAAGTTTAATAACACATTTTACGAGAAAGTGAGGTTGATATATATT